TCGCAGGGATGTCCATAGAATGTTGCACTGGATCCAATAGGCCTTCCCTTAGTCAACAAGGCACACGGTAGAAAGGATAAGCGAACTACTGCGATTTCTTAACAATCTGGCATTGGGCGAATATCTGATCAGATGCGCTTCGGGATGACACGATGCCACACTACTCTTGTATCGTGGAGGCTGCTTGGAGTTTGGAGCCCACTGCACCTCTGTTCTAACATTTTTGCACAAACGTTTCCCAAAAAATGTAGTAAACTGATACTTCTTAACTGAAGCACTGACTGTAGCCTCTCACCTTTAACAGGGATGCTGCAATCCCCCCTTGTCAAGTCGAATCATGTGTTTCTCGTACCCGTTGCAGTTTTCCAGGCACGCTTAAGCACAGCCTGTCTGGTTCACCTACGGTTCAGGCATTTCAGGGCAGATTTCATCGAATCTGGCAGTCTTTCCACTTTTCAAGCTTTTCACAGCTTGTGGGATATCGTATACAGAGATACCATCATCCGAAGCCCTGCTGTTTTACAGGCGAGTCTATCTGGAAGGTTGCTCGAGGTTAAGGAGCCCTTAAAGTACTTTCTCTGACGCTGAAGAGTGCCATCATCCTCAGTAAGAGGGTGTTCGGAGTTGTATTTCAAGAGTCTCAGACTCTCTTTTTTTACCTCGGAGTTTGCGGATGGTCTGCCTGAACACTGTTTGCGTCTGGAAGTTCGACTCCAACACCTCACCCAACTTCCCTGCAGGAATTAGCATTAGCTTTCGCCATCGCTTTCTCCGCCGCTTCGAGTGCCTCGACATATCGCACGCGAGTAGATGTCTCGTTGTTCCCAAACCATTTCTTGAACGCTGCTTTCTTCTCTTGAACTGTCAGTTGTACCTCTCGTGTCCACTATGAAGATCTTTTCTGACCTCCAGGCGGCAGGTCAACCCCTATTATATCCGCAGCATTCGGCGGCAGCCTCGAGTAGGCCTCTCTTAAACTGCTGCCACTCGGTTTCAACATCAGTTATCATCGCTGGGATCTGTTTTAACCGTCGTGCGATGTTGTTTGCAAATTTCGCTTTCGTGTTCACCGAAGACAATGTTTCCCATTTGATTCTCCAGTTGCTTCTGCCACCGGATTTTCGTATGGTACTCCTTTTCTTACAGCGCAGCGTGCCAACAACAAGGTGATGATTGTTTGATAGCTCTATGCCTCTTTTAACTCGAACATGTTAAGTTAGACGATACGATTATCAATTGGATCGTCGACTTCTGTGCAAAAGCTTCCCTGTACCACCTATACTGATGTATTCTTTGATTCTCGAAGAAAATGTTCATAATGGGCAGTCCGTTGTTAGCACAAAAAGGCAACAACTTCATGCAGTTATTGTTCAGGTGGCTAGAGCCGTTTTTTCTAATCATTCCGTTGCACTTTTCAGCGTCTACTCTGACATGCGGATTAAAATCGTCCATGAGTATGAGGGGCTTTGTATTCGGCACTTCGGACAGAGCACATTGCACTTCCTCAAGGAAGGTCTCATATTCTCCTCAAAATTCGGCGCACAGATCTGTATCAAGGTCTACGCTTTAGCCTGTTGTTGCTTCAGTCAGAGATTTACGACCCTTCCACTGACAGACTTCCAATCGTTGATTTATCTGCGAAGTTGGGTTCTACCAGAACACCAACACCGGCTTGAGCGCACGTCGTGATATCGACGTCTGAGTAGAACGGCTTCCATCCAGTGAGGTTCAGGAGTCCAGAGCCTTGGCGCTTTGTTGACGAGAGTCCAACAATGTGGAGTTGGTACTGTATATCTTCATCAACTCTTGTTCTTTTCCTTTGTGTGAGAATATGTTCCAATTTCCGACTATAAGCTCCCACTGGGCGGTGTCGTTCTCGTGGAGAGTTTTGTCACATGCTATAATAGCCTCGTTCTGTCAGCCTTCTCGTTTCAGAACGAGTAGTGACTCCGTTGCTAGTTGGTATCTACACCATGCGCGGTCCTTGATAGCCCCCAGCGACGACCGACCCTGTATAACGTTCGATGGCGACAGTGCCATGAGGGCGTGTGGCTGAGTTTTATGGAGTCTTCGCCTCGGTCTCCACTCCTCCTGCTTCCTCATCCAGGCTTGCTACCGGCAACGGCATAGTT